GATCGAACGTGGACTATTTCCGGCCGGTGGCAGAAAGGCTTTTTCCACAGTTCACACGAGAGAGGGAAGACGAGGCCAAACGATGCAATCACGGGAAGGGAAGAAGCCAATTCTCTGCGACGCGAAGTGCGGGCTGCCGCTGATGTCAGTCAATCCGGCCCGGGTTGATCCGCGCGATCCAGCGCCAGCGATCGAGTCGGGCAAATCGCACCGCACGATTAATTGAGCTTCGACGGAGTGGAGCGATTCAAGCGCAGAAGGCTCATCGTCGCAATGCGACCGATGCCAAAGCAACGTGATTTGCGGAGGGGATGGGGGGGAAAGACAGGAACGGCGACAGAGTGAGGTTTGGAAGCCAACGAGAACGTGCGCGCTGGTTGGAGAATTGCAACGCGCAGGTGCGCACAAGTGATGTGATTGAGCGACAGACGGACAATTGGGTACAAACAGAATACATTGATACTGGAATCATAAAAACGGGAGATAAAAAAACAATACCACAGGGTGCGCAAGGGGGGGAGGGGGGAGAATCCACGTACCTCGGACGGTGATTCGGCCACAACCGTGGGATTATTCCAAGATGATGGATGGGAGTGATCAATCACGAGGAGAGAAAATGATGGGGGGGAAGGAAGGAAAACAACGATTGGGTTGGACGACAGGATCAGTGATCTGATTTGAAGGTGGCCTACGGTGGGAATGAATAATCAAATCAAATGCAGCGCCGACGCAAATCAGAAAAAAGAATAAAAAAGAAAAGAAAAATGGAAAATGGAAAAATAAAAAATAAAAACCCCCAACCAAACAGGCAACGGGCGGAAGAGCCAATGGGTTCTGTGCGGCCAGGTCAGAGCGACGTCGGTGACTGGAGGGCACGCAAGGACTGGAGAGGCGGGACGACCAACGAGAGGGAGCAGAGAGAGAAAGCCGCAGCGAAAAGAAGGGCGGGCGATGGGGCATTTGTACCGTAGAGGAGCTGACTGGCCCGGCGGCTCGTCTAGCGGTCGAGGCGGCGAGAGATTCAGACCAACCGATGCCTGCGCCGTACGGTTCCGTAACCTCCCCAGGCTTTGCCCCACTCCATGGCTGCTGTCCTTTCGTTCTTTGTATTCGGGGTGCGTCGAGGGTTAGGAATTCTCGACTTTACCGTATACCACGGACGGCATAAGGTGGTCGTCAGGTACGTGGTAGCCGCCGTCCAAGGGACTGGGTGTGCGCAGATGAACACCCTGGGAGTCGCCCACCTGCGCTATGGTCCCTCGGGCCTGCGTAATGCTCCCGTATATAATACTGGGCGGTGGCGGGCGGACGGGGATATGGAAATGAGGATTCTCTCGTTGCAGGTCGCCCTCACTAATTCGAAAAATAAATGAAAATCAATATTTAAATAAATCCATCCTCGAAATACATGAAAATAAGATAAATAATACGAGATATGAACGATGAAATATCCTGTCCTCTAAGTTTGCACTAACTGATTTGTCCATCGCCAGGGATCCAAATGGTCGAAAGGGTTCAAATTACGGCGCACAGTTTTTTTTTCTTTTTCTCCTCAGCCCGGCCATCCCGAATTTGGGGACGCTCGTCATGTGCTCCCGGAGCTGGCGACTTGTCCTCGCGACCAGCCACCCTCGTTTGGTTTCCACGTGTGCTGAGTCCGCTTTTCCCTCGATTTTCTGGCGATTTCGATTTCGATTGCCATTTTGATCTTTGCCCCCGGTTTCCCCCCTCGGTCTCCTTCTAACCGCCCGTCTTTGTGACAAGCGGGCGAGATTCACGCCGTCTCCCAGGTTTAATCACAATGACGTCGACGCTGATGGGGGAGGGCAGCTCGGCCGACTTGGTCGCAGACGCTCGGCCTCGGTTATATACCCCATTTAGGCAATAATTCTTCGGGCAGCCCAACGATGCCATTATTGACTATTGTTGTTATTATCACTCAGCATGGGGACTGGCGGTTACGAGGATAAGCGCGTCAGAGCCACCGTCACCGTTCAAAAGCCACAACGTAGGATGCGCTCCGTAGGTACGGAGTAGATCGCCTTCGATTCAGCACCCAAAAGAGACCACTCTTTCGAGCGGCCATGACATCTGGAAAACTGCCACGAGTCCAGTCAGCCAGAGGAATTCACGGTGGTCTGGCCATCACATACCAAGGAAACCCAGTTGCCTTGAGAATACGTGGAATAAATTGCAAACAGCAACCTCGAACGGAGCCCCGTCCGTATCCGGTATGCCAAGTACGGGAACCGAAATCTGCAAGGACCTGGATACGGCCAGAGGACGTGGACGTAGATTCACGCGCAGTAATGATGTTTCTTATTTCTTATTATTATTTCTAGGACCCTGGAAATAATGGCGCTGCGAGGGCATGTTGATCGTCCTTATAGCAAGAGGTCGATATACCAACAAAGAAACTCAACCCAGTACCACGAGTGTATGGCTATACGCCCGTACCACTGCATCACCCAGCACGATGGCCGCCAGAGATTGGTCGCCGATCTGTCCCACACCACGTGTAGAAGCTTGACCGCTTGGTTGTGGTATTGATTCGACAGTCCACGCTGAAGATTAAACTAATTTGTATCACGAAGATGGGTGGATATGATGGGAAATACTCACTGGTCCTGCATCGTGTAGAATGCTCTTTAGCCTGTCTCAGCGTGATTTTTGGCCCCATAATGTGATGGACCAGGACAACCGACCTCGTTTACGCCCGTACGGCCGGATTACCGGTACGGACGGTATTGGAAGGTGCTCGACTCGACAAGCTTGGGCCACCTGACGTCAAGTGATTCAGGCCCCACCCTCACCGCCGTTCAGCGTTTGCATGGGAAACTTCTTTGTATAGCACAACTGGCGCGCTGGATGTTATGGCTGGGAGGCGGGTTTCATTTGCTCTTTCCTTGGAAATGCAGGCGCCTGGAAGATGCAGGATCTGGGATCGGCCTAATGTAGTACAGTTTCCTGTCATCAATGTCACATCATACACATCAAAAGACATTTTCATGACCAGTCCAAACGAGGTGGCAGCGACTATGCATCCGAAGCAGGGAACGCCCTTCCAAAATCAGCGAACCTATCATGCTATGCTGTTGTTTCTTTTTTTCACTGCCTTGGACTTGATTGTGGTCTCTCCGATTTACGCGTCTTGGCTGATGCCATAGAGAAATACCATTTTGGTGCTCGGGAATAATAATAGCCTCTTCGCTATCATCCATGGCTCGTCTGTGATGGGACTACAGCATGGTCTTGCGTCGTGTTAATGCTGTGCTCAGTCAACTTCTAAGCGATGTGCCGCAGATTTCTTGTAGCCTCTAGGTATGCTCACTAGTAGTACTAGCATCACAGACTCGTGTCCTCTAAAGCCAAGAAGAAATATATAGCTGCATCCCGAGCGCTATAGATAACCAGAATTCTCTACTCCCACTCAACAAAACATATCGCTAAGTTCAACACTACAGAATCCGAATATTCCACAACAAGGGATATTAACAAATAATTATAAAGAATGCCGGAAATTAGCTCGAGTCCAGCATCGTATAATTGCTGACGAAATTCCTTACTACCTCCCCGAGGCATTAAGATTAAATAAACCGACTGTATGTCTACATCATATTGAGTCAGATCGCACATCGGAATAATGTCTTTGGGGCTCAATTTAATATCTATAGATTGACTATGGTTTCGTTGTGGATATTCTACGCCGGCGTAAACATCGTGCAACAAGCCTGTGCTAAATTCTCAATATATACTAGGCCATATCAGACCTTGATTTAGATGACAATGCCCGATAAGTGCCACTTATACAATAGTCGAGTTGTTCTGAAACAGATGCCAGTGTTGTACACCACCGGGTCTCTGATGGTCTTACAGTAAGCATAGTGTGTTTCATACACGAATGAACATAACTACGTTGCATTTCCAACACTCCGTGGACGACACAATAGATCTGGCCAACGTGATTGCGAAAGCAGAGCAACGCTGACAGTTAGTTAGTTACCCTCATGATGCTGACCAAGATCCGCAGATAACTGACCTGGTTACACGCAATTCTAATAGAGCCCGTGGCTGATGCAAGATAACGAAGCCAGGTGCTTTTAGAGCCATGAAGTAGGTTCTACCGATGTTGATCGAATGTACTCTACGAAGACGAACCGAAAGAAGGTCTTCTAGCTTCAAGCATCGCAGATTGTATCAATAAACCTCAATATCCTTATCTAATGATGAATTCTTGATATGGATGAATCAGCAACACCGCCATACCTCGAGGACTCGTACTGGAGACCTACCGAAACAGACGTTCTCATCAACAACCTCCCTGGCAATCAAAGAATCGCAGCCAGCGTACCTGCATATCTGTACAGATCACAATGACCAGTCCTAGAGGGACTAAATCATGATGAACGAATCGTCGCGACGGGAGTGGATTGGCCTGGGGAGGCTTACCTAATCCCGTCCTTCGGTCTCATGTGGCTTTTCCCGTGCCTGCGAGGGTCGGCCGGGCCTGGAGTCGATCGCTCACTGCAATATTACAATTTTCCCACCTCCTCTTCCCCCCTTCGATCCTCATCTGCCTCGAGCAGCTCAATAACTAATCAAATAGCGCGTCCGATCTAGTGGTACCTTGCATGGTCCCCCGATATTCTTATTGCAACTGGTCCTCCCCCCCCCCTGAACGCGCCCGGATCTCTCCTCAACACAAGACCGTATACATGACGTCTTTGTTGACATCCACCACCGACTCTCAATCGCCTCGAGGTTACACCGGACCGAGCAAATACTTACCCTTGAACCTGCTGTAACAGGGTCCCGGGGAACATTCATCCCGCGACACTGTAGGGCGGCGCTCTCCGAGGCGTTCGCGACTTTTGTGTTTTCCGGTCCAGACTAAACCCCCGCGGCCGCTTGCGCTCCTTTTTGCCCTTTCCCCTGGAAATCGAAACTCGTGCCGGTGGAGGCGGGTGAACGGCCCTCAAGTGTATGGGGAATAGGCCATCATGGCTCCTGGAGGTGGAGGAAATATTAAGGTGGTGGTGAGAGTTCGGCCTTTCAACAGTCGAGGTGAGTTCGTGGTGCTCCTCTTCACCCCCTTTTCGGATCCCCACTGACGCAATGAATTCCGTCTTCCCCAGAGAATGAACGTGGCGCAAAATGTATTGTTCACATGAAAGATACCCAGACCGTCCTCACGCCGCCACCCGGTGCTGTCGATAAATCACGAAAAGCCGCTGGTGGAAAGCAGGCCGTGGAAGGACCGAAAACGTTCGCCTTCGATAGATCCTACTGGTCGTTCGACAAGAATGCTCCCAATTTCGCGAGCCAAGATAACCTTTTCGATGACCTGGGTACGCCACTGCTGGACAATGCTTTCGGAGGCTACAACAATTGTATTTTTGCCTACGGTCAGACGGGTTCGGGAAAATCATACTCGATGATGGGATACGGCAAGGAATATGGTGTCATCCCGCGAATTTGCCAGTCGATGTTCGAGCGCATTACTACGATCCAGCAAGACAAGAACCTCGGATGTACGGTGGAAGTGTCTTATCTCGAAATTTACAACGAAAGAGTTCGCGATCTGCTGAACCCCTCGAACAAGGGCAATCTAAAAGTCCGTGAGCATCCGTCGACCGGTCCATATGTCGAGGATTTGGCCAAACTGGTGGTGCGCTCCTTCGACGAGATTGAGAACTTGATGGACGAAGGAAACAAGGCCAGAACGGTCGCGGCTACGAACATGAACGAAACTTCCAGTCGTTCTCATGCGGTCTTCACTCTTACACTCACCCAGAAGCGCCATGATGCGGAGACCTCGATGGACTCGGAGAAGGTCTCGCGAATCAGTTTGGTCGATCTTGCAGGATCGGAAAGAGCGAACTCAACCGGAGCGACCGGAGCGCGATTGAAAGAAGGAGCGGAGATTAACCGTTCGCTTTCAACGCTCGGTCGTGTCATTGCTGCTCTTGCGGATGTGGCTGCTGGCAAGAAGAAAAATGCGTCGATGGTGCCGTACCGTGACTCAATTCTGACATGGTTGCTTAAGGATTCCCTTGGAGGTAACTCCATGACGGCAATGATTGCTGCCATTTCACCTGCAGATATCAACTTCGAAGAAACTCTCAGTACCTTGCGATATGCCGACTCCGCGAAACGTATCAAGAACCACGCAGTCGTGAACGAAGATCCCAACGCACGGATGATCAGAGAACTTAAGGAGGAGCTGGCACAACTGAGGTCTAAGCTTGGACCGGCAGTGGGCGCGGGAGGTGCTGGTGGAGCGGCGGCAGCCGCAGCAGGTGGAGTATCTGTTGTTGAAGAATACCCACCGGACACTCCTTTGGAGAAGCAGATGGTTTCCATTCAACAAGACGATGGCAGCGTTACCAAGGTCAGCAAAGCTGAGATCGTGGAGCAGCTGAACCAAAGTGAGAAGCTATACAAAGACTTGAACCAGACTTGGGAAGAGAAGTTGGTGAAAACAGAGCAAATCCACAAAGAACGAGAGGCCGCCCTGGAAGAACTGGGAATTAGTATTGAAAAGGGCTTTATCGGACTCAGCACGCCCAAGAAGATGCCGCATTTGGTCAACCTGAGCGATGACCCGCTGCTCGCCGAGTGCCTTGTCTACAACATTAAACCCGGCACCACCATGGTCGGAAACATGGAACAAGGAGGCAATGTGGAGATACGATTGAATGGCTCTAAGATTATGCCTAACCATTGTACGTTTGACAACGTGGATAATGTTGTTACCGTTGTGCCAACCGAAGGCGCGGCCGTCATGGTGAACGGGTTACGCATAGATAAGCCAAAACGCCTCAAAAGTGGCTTTCGAATAATTCTGGGCGATTTCCACATATTCCGATTCAACCATCCCCAAGAGGCTCGGGCCGAGCGAGTGGAGCAGAGTTTGCTGCGTCATTCGGTTACTACGAGTCAGTTAGGGTCTCCAGCTCCAAACAAAACGCACGATCGCAGCTTGAGCAAGACCGGTTCGGAGATCGATGGGGACTCTAGTAGGGCTGATTCGCCAATGCCTTCGCAGCCCGGCCGTGAGTCTGATTGGTTTAATGCTCGCCGAGAAGCCGTGAGTGCTGTGCTGGGGCCTGATCACATTTCCCATATGCCTGATGATGAGCTGGATGCCCTCTTTGAAGACGTGCAAAAAGTTAGAAACACTCGCCGGGGGCTGACGGAGAATGAGGAGGACTCCGATTCGCTCAGCTCGTTTCCTGTCCGGGACAAATACATGTCTAACGGCACTATCGATAACTTTTCGTTGGACACGGCCATCACCATGCCGGGGACTCCCCGCCAGCAAGACGAAGATGAAGGACAAACCGGAGGTGATACGACGCTGCAGTCTGTACGCCAGGATATGCAGCGCCAGCTGGACCGACAGAAGGAGGAGTACCAGGATAAATTGAGGAATGCGGAGGTCTCATCGAGTCAAGGCACCGACGACATCCGCTCCGAAAAGACTCGGATGGAAGCAGCTCTGCGTACGGCCAAAGAAGAATTCGAGGAACAATTGAGAAAACAAAAGGAGGAGTTCGAGTCGCATATGAAAGATATGGGCCAACCGGTACCCAAGATATACGAGAATGGTTTTGAAAAACTGGACCCGAGGGAGATAGAGATTGCGAATTCGGTTTTCCGCCACTGGACGCAACAGAATTATGTCCGTATGGCAGAGAACGTGCTCCAGCACGCGTCTTTGCTGAAAGAGGCTCAGGTGATGAGCCAGATAATGGACAAGAACGTTGTTTTTCAATTTGCGGTTGTCGACCATGGACACAACATGGCATCATCTTATGACCTGGTTCTGAACGGCATATCTGGCGACGAGGATGTTGTACTCGATGAGACTAAGAAACCCTGCATTGCAGTGCGCGTAATCGATTTCAAGCAGTGCGTGATCCACCTCTGGTCCGTCGAGAAGCTCCAACGCCGTCTTCAAGCTATGCGTCAACTGCACCAGTACATTGACCGACCGGACTACATTCAACACTTCAAACTCGAAAACCCTTTCTCCGAGTCCTGCTCCCCACAGTATTCCCTCGTGGGTGATGCTGACATCCCCCTGACGGCGGTGTTCGAGACACGGGTTCAAGACTTCTCCGTCGAAATTACTTCGCCCTACACTCAGAACGTGATCGGTATCATCAGATTATCCTTGGAACCATCCTCAGCTCAAGCGCCATCTTCCACCCTGAAGTTCAACGTTGTCATGCGTGACATGATTGGTTTTGCTGAATGGGAGGGGACGGAGGTCCACGCGCAACTTTTTGTGCCGGGGATATCTGAGGAGGGAGGTGCTACTACCACCCAGATGATCAGTGGGTTTGATGAATCCCCTGTCCGCTTTGAAAGCGTTCACAGTATGAGCCTGCCGCTGTCCAGCCCACGGAGTGCGGCGTTGAAGGTTTGCGTGTATGCGAAAGTGACACCTATGCACATGGACAAGCTTCTTAGCTGGGACGACATGCGCGACTCGGCGGAACCGGCGCCCCAGAAACGCAAAACCCCACGCATCGCAGAGTCCGAATTCTTCTCGGAAGAACGACACGACGTTTTCGCCCGTATGCAGATACTGGAGCTGGCCGAAACCGGGGAATATCTTCCTGTCGAGGTGGTTCAAAGCAGCAGTCTTGATACAGGCACGTATCAACTTCACCAGGGTCTTCAACGTCGGGTCCTGGTAAATCTGACCTACAGCTCCACCGAGAGTCTTCCTTGGGACAACCTCACCCACATCCGGGCAGGCTCAGTGCGGTTGCTAGACCCCTGGGGTAAAATTCCGGACCAGGACCTTCAGACGCCGGATGTCCCTTTGAAATTCGTCCAGGAACCGATGGTGAAGGACAATGCGGATGGAACATCCAACGTTACGCTGATCGCCCAGTGGGACTCGAGTTTGCATGGGTCTCTCCTCTTGGACCGCGTCACTGCCGACAAGTATCGCGTGCAGGTAACGGTTCGGTGGGATCTCATCTCATCTCGCTTGCAGGACCCCGTGTCGTTCGATGTAGATTTGACGCTTCAAATCCAAAGTCGAACCTACGTGCGTCCACAGTCCATGTTCAAACAGTTTTTCAATTCGACTCGAATCGTGCATTCTACCGTTTGCATGTTCTCGGTGGCTGTTCGACCCGTGTCTGCCAAACGCGCCGCAGATCTTTGGCGCATGAACACCCAGAATGATTATGTGAAGGGCGAAGAGCTGTTGACGGCATGGTCGCCGCGCAAAGTCTCACTGGTGCGTGACTATATCGCAGCTCGTAAGCGACGCCGACGGGTTGCCGAATTGAATGCCGCCAAAGGAGCCCTCAGCGCAAGCAGCCTTGTGGCGTCCCCTCCACGGAGCGGCCGATCTACCCCCCTTCGCAGCCAGGAGAACTCAGAGCGCAAAGCGAAGCTGCTTCGGAAGTACGTTGATCTTTGGACTACGAAGACCGATCCTATCGAGGCAATCCTTGTCCGAAGCAATACGGAACCGCCGGATGGAGGTGCAGCGTTTGCCTCACGAACCCAACCATCCTCGGGCGATGAATCTAGTTCTATCTCTGACGAGGCATCACTGAAACCGCGCTTCATTGCAACCATCCAGACCCTTCCGAAGAATGCATCTTCCACGAAGAATGGATATCTTTTAACGCCCGACGATACCAACAGCCACTGGGTACGACGCTTTGTGGAACTTCGCCGGCCATACCTGCATATTCACTCTGTGCCCGAAGGCGATGAGATCAACGCTATCAATCTGCGATACTCACGCGTGGACCATGCTCCCGATTTTGCGCGCCTTCTTGATGGTCCAGGGGCTCGCGGTGAGAATGGCTCATCGCCCAAGGGACGGCCGAATGTTTTTGCGGTGTACGGGGCTCAGAACACCTTCCTCTTCGCGGCTCGTACCGAAGCCCAGAAAGTTGAATGGATTTTGAAGATCGACGAAAGCTACTTTAGTAGTAACGGGGGTAAGGCACCGATCAACGGGTCTGGATGATGTGCGCCACCACTTTTATTTTCTCGAGATCCACAGCGATCGATTAGGATTGGAACGACTTTTGCCGACGTTACGCAAGCGATGCCTTGAACACACGATGCTATTTTTCTTGCTTCATCGGTTGCATCGGAATGCTCCAGCTTTCACTTTTATTCTTCTCTACTCGCATGGTCGTGGGCAGGTGAGGCCCACATTACGTTCTTTCGCGTATTTCATCAGATCGAATTGTTTTTTGCGCCTTACCCCCAGGCCTGGAGTCTGTCTATCTTTTGTTGATCACCGTTTCCCTTCGTTTTGATATACTTTTGTGATTGATTGGTTTAGAGATACCCCCTGAATATACCTGCCCCTTATTACACATGCGATCTCCCTGTATATAGATGAAGCTACCCTCCCCTATCTGCAAAACATAGACGCGATCGGTCGGCAAGCGATGATATGAGGCCCTCTGTGTCCGCAGGCGGCGGTGGCCAATGTTTGTTGATTTTATTTTTCTTCAGAGTGAAGCTGAATGCAATCCGAGTGAGCCATTAGACATTAATTCTATTATTATCACGAGAAATTAATGGATTTGCAGTTAATCAATTGAATATTGCTATCTACTCCGCCTTGTAGACCGAGTGAGCAGGACTAATTGCTCCGTAATGATCTCATTGAATCAATGCACACCCGTTGCCATGGGAACCACTACAGCTTCAAGGCTGTCATGTCTGACCTTGTCACCCTCAACTGACATACCACATTATTCTTCTTATTTTGAACATTCCTATGCCTCTTTAGAGGATATTTTTACGGATAACGCTCCCAATCGACATGACATATTGATACATGAATTACAAATTGGCCTAAAGAACCACCGATAACGATCTACGAAGTATATGCCCGACGAAACCTCAATTTCAAACAACAACAACAACAACACCGTACCACACGCCTCCAATCCCACAATATACAGATATATATAAAGCAAACCATCCATCCCAATGCGCTGGACGCAACCCGCTCAGACCCAAAAATCATGGCTCCGCTTTCTCGGCATCGGCGCAACCCTGTCCTTACTGATCGTCGCATTCCTCCTCTTCCACGACCGCTTCTCCGCCTCAGCCACGAAATATATTCTGAAAACGACTGATAAGGCACCCCTGGAATGTCCCTCTGCGGTGACGAATACCACAGAGTGGGAGTTCCACGCCCTGAGAGATGCGAATGACCACGGTCTGTCGGATGAGCAATGTCGGGCGGCGTTTCCGAAGTTGTTTGTGGAGTTGGATAGGTCTGCGGAGGGGAGGATGGAGAGGAAGATCACCTCGAAGGAGGTGAATGGGATGTCGGTTGAGGATGGGATGGTTCGGGCGATTGTGCAGGATGGCGAGGTAAGTTCAGATTTGGTTTCTGGTTTTTGTTGCTCGAGGATGGTCATTCGATTGTTCTCCGACCAAGCGGTCTGCGATCCAAGCTAATGCGGTATCGCGATAGTTGTATATTGTCGACTTTGGCGCCATGCCGGCGACTTTCACTCGCGGCAAAGCGACCTTGAACTCGCTGCATCGCGCGCTGGCCTCGTTCCCTGACAGTCGCAACCTGCCCAACGTCGAATTCGTCCTGACGACAGAGGACTACAGCACCGGCGACGGTCCTATCTGGTCATACTCCAAGAAGGAAGAGGATGCGAATGTGTGGCTCATGCCGGACTTCGGATACTGGTCGTGGCCGGAGGTCAAGATCGGGTCGTACAAGGACATCCGGGCACGGATCGCCTCCGTCGACGACGGCGACTCACACGGCCAACATGGGCTTTCGTTCCAGGCGAAGAAGAAACAGCTCGCCTGGCGCGGCAGCGTGGCTACGAACCCGCAGCTGCGCGGGAAACTGCTCAAGGCGGCGCAGGGCAAGAGCTGGGCCAGCATCCGCGTGATCGACTGGGACGACGAGAACGATATCCGCTACAACCTGCTCCCCATGGAAGAGCACTGTCGGTACATGTTCCTGGCGCATGCGGAGGGGCGCAGCTTCTCGGGCCGCGGCAAGTACCTGCTTAATTGTCGGTCGGTGACGATTACGCACCACATGGAGTGGAAGGAGGCGCACCATGCGGCGCTGATTGCGTCGGGCCCGGAGGCGAACTATGTGCAGGTGCAGAATGACTTCTCGGATCTGGAGAAGAAGGTCGAGTTTTTGATTGATAATCCGGAGACGGCGGAGAGGATTGCGGAGAACGCGGTCAGGACGTTTCGTAATCGGTATTTGACTCCGGCGGCGGAGTCGTGCTACTGGAGGGAGTTGATTAGACGGTATGCGGACTCTTGTGAGTTTGAGCCGGTGCTGTTTGGGACGATGGAGGATGGGAAGACGATTGCGAGGGGGACGCCGTTTGAGACGTGGGTTTTGACCGGCTGAGGGATTGCATTTGATTTGGATATATGCTCGGTGTTGGGGAGTCTGTATGATGTTATGATTATGGTTATGGTTGTCTATACGCTCTGTACATAAAAAGATTCTATGAATATGCGACGATCTCATTAGGGCTCAGGAAGTCACTGTCGTTGTATCCCCAGGCATCCATTGCAACGTGACCTTCCTCTTCCAAGGCTCCCACTGCTCCTCTGCAACCTTCACTCTTCCTGCATCTCCAACCAGCACCATCTCCCACATCGACATCATCATGCATATTAGCCCCATAATGCTTCACATGGAATGCGTCGTGATCATGGACTCCATACCCCCCTTACTTGAACTGGCAACAGTCCAAGGTGAGCCACACTCGACCCCAACGCGGTGTCTCCAGATGAGCTCGAAACTCAAACTGATCCATATCCGATAGTTTCCGCCTATCATCAAGTCATTCCGGCGGCAGGGATATAATCTGACTGTACTAAGGAATGTCAATCCCTAGGGAGAAGGTCATGGTGCCCAAAGAAAAGAGAAGTCCAACGACCCGTGGCTCGGGCTCCCTCTTATGGATCCAATGGCGATTGAATTAAAGTGCGCACGAGGTGAATAGCACTAACTGACTAACTGACTAAGTTTGCCTCCCCGCACCGAGCCTTGCTGCCGAGAAACCCATACAGACTCAATAATGCGCTGAACTGAGCTGAGATTTTGGACGACGTCATGGAGCCATTCCTGTGGGGTAAAACCCAAGGAAAAGTCCGGGGTAACCTCGGCAGCGGAAAGGCTCACACGACCTTCTTTGTTAGATGGTTAAATCGCTCATCTGATGGAAAGATTGTCGACAAAGGGCAGGTTCTCTGGCCGTGGAAGCTGACTCAGTTTCCCTCGGTCCATCCCTTTTGAACGGACCACGGAACGGCTCCTATTTGCGATCTTCCATCTGCGGAAGATTTTCGTGTCTTGGCCCCGTCGAGGCATATTTTTGAGAGACGCGGCTAGACCGATTTTCCTCCGGATCTTAGGAAATAGCTCCGATCTAGTAAATTGTATCCCGCGGTTTAATGCCGAGACAACAAAGCCCCATGGAGCCCAATCCACCACACGCAAGGGGTGCAGGTCTGGAAAAAAGATAATCTGGCGAGATCTGCGCGCGGATTGACAGGTTACAGATGGGAGTGGGGTGAATCGAGGTCATGGACCCTGTCGACGGTCGGCTGGATTCGAGGATCTGCTTTATCGCGATTTGTCGAGTTACTCGAGTCGAGTCAACGTCGGCGTCCGGTGTACTTGTGTACCTCTTGATTCTTGATACGGGCATCAAGAAGCAGTGTCGTAAGTTGGCCTCACGGTTACGATTGGGCCAGAACGCCAGCAGCCGGATGCACAATGTGACATCACCAAATGACCCCCAGGGTCATGGTCGCTGGGGAACCTGACCCCGAACTTGGACCCGAACCTAGCCCCGAGCCAAGGAAACACGGCGTTTTGGAAGCGATCCCTTCCTGCCATGTGTCTGGCGCCTTATGGATGATCTGGTGTCTACCACTCATCGACCCGAACATTATTTGCAGTTTACGGTAGGAAGAATAGGGTGCACTGGCCTCCACGACTTGTACAGCCTCTCCGACAGTTGGTCACTATTTTCCGAAAAAGGGGACAAAGGTGGAGACATTCGACTCAAAATCGAATGGAAAAAATAGAAATCCGGGAGAAAAAGAAAAGAAAAAAAACAGTCGGCGATGAGATAAGAGATCACAAGCCGTGCATTCCTGCCAAGAAGAGCCAGTCTGCCTTTCGACCTCACGGCTTCCGAAGGCGTCTGACAAGACTCCGTTGGCACTCAGGTCAGATGTCTTGGAATTTTAATTTCAACGTGTATGACTGAACTCGGTTGACTGACTTGGTTGTAGTTCCTGTCAGCGAGGGGGGATTTGAGGGTCTCCTATCAGCCGACGGAAGATCCTCCTTGACCCAGGGAATGGGCCCAAAGAAAAAAAAAAGATAAAAAAAAGGGAAATAAGAGAGAAAAAAAAGGAACAAAGGCGTGACACATCCAAGAGACGAGGGCACAGCATATGCAGTGTGTGAGAAATCCTAAGAACTCTCAGGGGTGAGATCTGGTTTGTAGTAGCGGTCTGCTCTGCATTGCCCTTACGTCGCTTATCTGTTCTGCTCTCTTGATACTCTTGATCCACAATCCTCACCATGAAGGATCCAATACTGACGGATTCGTTACAGACTGAGGAGAATTCAGACATTTCAGACATGCTCCAGGGTAGCTGTTGACAGGACGGACAACCGGCATCCAGGGTCGTCACAGTTTGGCTCATCATGGCTCCCCACCAGGATCGACGCCCAACCAACACTAATGAACCTTCGACAAATCAGCATCGGTCCGAACCAAGGGCCATTCCCGCTTTCGGAAATATTCAAACACCCTGAAATCGTTTCGCACTCGCGCCACTTCGCCCACCGCCCGGCACCGCCGTGGTTAGGTTGATACTGTTTTTGAGTAGGCCAGTCACATCGAGTCAGTCACTCGCCTTTCAAATCCCCTGCAGCGTAGCCCAGTGACCGAGTACAGTGCCATGACCAAGAGGCGCCTGTCAATTGCCTCGGAACAATGGAAGTATGGACAGCCTTGCGGCGCTTGCATGCAGCAGGGTTGCTCAAAGCGTCCAGACTCTGCCACGCCGGCCAAGATCTTCCCCCCCGGTATTGGTATTAGGGACTATTATTGACCTCAGATCACTCTTTGATTTGATCCACCAAGCCCCGAAACTATGTCAAATGGCGTTCGGCAACTGATCCCCACTTTTCCTGCTGAATGTTCCTTCCAGGGGCTTGGCGATGCGTCCCATACTCGGTCCAGCAGACCCAGTTGCCATTTGGACGCCTGCCCATCAAATGACCGATGATTTCGTCTACCGGATGAAACCTTCCAATTTGCCCTATTCCATCCTGGGGCCAAATGCGGTCGACAAGAAATGGTACGGGGGCCGATCACTTACTTCCTCCGAGAGGAGGGGGTGTTGTCAAGTATTAAAAGCTGGACGCATCCTGAAGGTTTGCATGCATTTTGGTAGACATCCTCTCTTCGTTCTCGGCCATTGTCTAAGTGTCTTCCAGCCTCATTTTCTCACCTGCTGACATTCTTCTTCCATTCCTCTTTGAAGATCTTCGTTTTGTGTTCCGGGGACGTTTAGTCTAGTAGTAACCATGTGGTATTCTCAACTATCCTCATGGACTCTGGGCCTGGCCCTGGTGACAGGGGTCTTGGCTTCTCCCCTTGAGAAACGAGCAGCAGGATCTCGGCTAGTTATTGACTCCGACTTCCCCGATCCCAGCTTTGTGGGCACCCCCGAGGGAACTTGGTATGCATTTGGCACCAACGGAAATGGGAAGCGCGTGCAGGTCGCTACTTCGCCAGACTTCAAGACGTGGACTCTCACGAACAAGGAAGCATTGCCTACTCTTGCGGGGTGGGAAACAGAGATTGATCATTGGGCTCCTGACGTAGTCCAACGCGTATGTCTTTATCCAAGTGCCCTAGTCCTTTCTCAAACACTCACAAGCTGTGCAGAAAGATGGAAAATACGTGCTGTACTACTCCGGCGAAGCCAAAGAGATGGTTAGACACCACTGTGTAGGGGTCGCCGTTTCCCAGGGCACAGATCCAGCCGGGCCCTACATCCCCAACCCCGAACCTCTATCATGCCGCCTCGACCAAGGCGGCTCGATCGACCCCGCCGGCTTCCTCGACAAGGATGGTAGTCGATACGTCGTCTTCAAAGTGGACGGCAACAGCATCGGCAACGGCGGCGACTGCAACAACGGCATTGAGCCTTTGAAACCGACCCCCATTCTACTGCAGAAAGTCAAGGACGACGGATTCACCCTCGACGGGCCAGCCGTGCAGATCCTGGACCGCGACGCCAGCGACGGACCGTTAGTCGAGGCGCCCAACCTCATCTTACACGGTGACACATACTTCCTCTTCTACTCCACCCATTGTTTCACCGACCCCAAGTACGATGTGCGCTATGCGACCTCGAAATCCATCACGGGGCCGTATGTCAAGAACGGCCACAAGCTGTTCAAGACTGGCGATTACGGCCTGACTTCCCCTGGGGGAGGCACGGTCTGTGGCTGCGGCGATCGTATTCTCTTCCATGGGTTCTGTGATGCCAATAAGAGTAAGCGATGTACGTATGCTGCAGATCTTTCGATCCAAGGGGACAGCGTTACGGTTTTATGATTGAGTATTTGACTAGAGGTCTTGTGAATTCAAAGTTTGGCATATGATTTGTTCAATTGATTTTGGGATTTTAGCGCTGTGGCTGTTCTGACATCGGTTTTAAAATCGGTCTTGGATGGCTGGACATGAAATATTTTGTTCTATATATGAGACCCCTTTTGTTAATGCAACATTTTTGAAATTATTTCAACTGCCTTACAGATCCTACCTTCCTTCAACCCCGACAGAGCCAAAATTGAAAATTGATAGAGCGTCTACAGCAATGTGAGATAAATGGGGTTCGATAATTCGTGAGTGAGATTGGTGCTTTATTCATGGAGAGAAGGGTATCTAGTTCTAATGCATGTCTCTATTTCTATTCCAGGAAAAGAGTTAAACGCCAGACGAAGCCAGCGGATTCTCCTTCTCCTTGCGCTTCGACCGAGTGCGTTCCACCCACTCCTCGGCACCATTGATGGCGCTTTCAGGATCATCCTTGTGGTTCAAAAGGTATCCCTGAATCTCAGCAGCCGTGAACTCGGACGGAGGCACACGCAATGCGAACTCCGACGCGAGCCCCTGGACTTTCTCACGCGAGATACGATGCCACGGGGCCTCAATGACATCGCCCTTTTCCTTTCGCTTCTGCTCCTCCAACGCCATGGCTCTTCCCCGAGGCAGCCGAACGTCGCCCTCGAGGGATGAATAAATGGCCGTAAAGAGCTCACTGATGTCCTCGGACTCGGCATACCCAAACTCAACGGACATATCCACACGTCCCGGACGAAGAAGCGCCGCATCCAATTTATCCGGGTGGTTGGTCGTCATCACGAGAATCCGGCCCTCGCTCGCCGCCACGCCATCAATGACATTCAGCAGCCCGGACAGCGACACACCCTGCTTCGCAGTCGTGGTGGCCTCCTCTGAACCCGTCTCCTTCTCCTTCTGCTCGCCTCCCTTCTCCCCATCACCCAGCGTCCTCTCCTTCGCCATTCCGGCGCAATCCACATCCTCCAAGAGAACAATGCACCGCCTCGGCAGCTCATGGAACAGACTCATCAGATCATCCTCGCCGAAGCTCTTCGAGCTCAGATTCAGCAGATACAGCGACAGCCCTAGCATGCCGGATGCCGCGAAGCACAAACTCGTCTTGCCCGTCCCAGGCGGCCCATGCAGCAAATACCCCCGACGATACGGGATGCCGCGATTCGAGTACCAGCGCCTCGTCCGCGGGTGCAAATACTCCTTGATATCATCGATGAACGCCTGCTTGCGCTCCGCCGCCAACACCACCGTCGACAGCGGCCTCGGCGCCCGCGACATGCACCTCGTCCAGTCGACATACTCGCCGGGGGACTTCTGCGCGCGGTAAATCACCGTCGTATTCAAGTCCCGCGCCACATACGCTCTCTGAGCCTCCACCAACAACTCCTTCAGAATAGTCGGATCCCGGCCCAAACACGCAAGATAGAGCCGTTCAGGCGTCAACCGCGAGTAGAAACTGGCCTTGTTGTTATTATCCTCCTTCACGCGCATGAACGCCAGCAGCCTCCGCCGAAACCAGAAATAGTGCGTCCCCTCCGCCGGCGTGAACCGCAGCCGCTTGTACTTGTCGCGGTTCTTCGCCTTCGCCCAGTACGCGTCAAACGAGACCAGCACGTTCCCGTGCTCGTCGTACTCGTTGTCTTCGGAGTCGGAGTCCTCCGAGTCGGAATCGTAGTACGACCGGCCGCCGGATCCGCCGGTGCGTGTGCCGGCTACGAAGTGCGTCGTGCGGTTCGTGAACGGCTGCTGTGCCAGCCAGAACATCAGGTAGCTGTAGATTTCGTCGTCGAGGCGGATCTCGGCTTTGGAGACGCAGTGTGTCTCGATGAGGTGGCGGATGCGGGACGAGGTGTACTTCAGCGAGGCGAGGAGGACTACGCAGCCGAGGACGTAGGGGAGGTATCGGGTCGGGTCGATGTGGAGGTGGTTGATTAGGATGCGCGAGATGAAGGAGTAGCCTGGGATGAAGGCCTCGAGGATGGCGGTGTCGGAGGGGGTGAGGAGGGTGGAGTTGGAGGGAGGGTTGAGGGTGAGGTTTGCCATTGTGGTGGGTTGGTTTGGCAATGAATTGAGGTAGGGAGTATATGATGTCCAGGAATGAAAGGGTATAATCGAGAAGATAACAAGAACCGACTCAATCCCAGAGCCAAGGCGAATAGATTGAAGACAGAGAGACCCCGACACCCTCTATTCTATACCAGACAGAAACCGACTCAACATATTCACGAAGAAGCGAATATTCACCTCCTTATATATCCATCTTCATTCACCAGCCATCCATCCAGCCAGGCAAGTGACACAGGTGCCCGAGTGCCCAGGCAGAAACTCCACAGCTAGGCACTAAGCATCCTGAGCGATGAATCCAACCCAATCAATCGACCATGAATCATCCGCCACTGCCACACTGACATGACTAACCAGAGCCTGCCATTCCTTGCCGCAGTCATACCGCAAAGAATGCCGCAGCTAGACGCGCAAGGCTGGCATTGTGGGTCGTTTGACTCACGATCGGCGTCCCGATTCGTAGTAGGGAGTGGATGATCATGATGGGTATGGTTCATCTGCTATTCATGGCTGTGGCTGTTGGGGTGCGGGATTTTTGGGTCTAATTTTTGTCTTTCAGCTGTGGGTTGGAAGGATGCAGGGAGGATCTCTGGATGAAGGATGAAGTCATGGCGTTGAGTTGCTGCCTGTGGGTGCCTAGGTTGTACCTGAGGCTGAAACATTTCCCGTCATTTGATCCTACTGATAGGCGCAGGTAGTAGTGTCTATTGGTGCTATTTGTGAAGATGGCATGGCCAATCCGTGCGCTGTAATATATTCGGGTTGATCCCATTTTAAAATGAGCCTCAGTGGAAAAGCCAAGATGGATATTAAATAAGCTAATATACCTAGAGTCGCTTTATGGCCCTATAAAATCCCCGCATGACACGTGGTGATGATATAGATCCGTGTCCTGCTTAGTTTGCTGTGACCCTGTCGGACTGGCCAAAGCTCAGCTCCTGGTAAGTGTATAAATCTGGCCAATGAGAGCCTATTTTCAGAGACACAGTGATCAAAGCTGACTTTTGACGAGTGAGCCAAGCCGAATCAAGTCCTGCAGGCAGAATCAACCCCGCTTGATTCCGTGTCGTGCCAGCCTTGCACCATCTTTTGTAGTAAACTTTCAGATCAGTATGCAGAAAAAGGACGAAAAGATGAAAAATAAACGAAAAAGAAGACAACGATATATCCTCTAACAAGGCAGTGTGCCAAAAACAATGGGTATCTTGAAGTATTATCGCCGGCCAATCGGCCCCACAGCTGGCGCATAGGCGCAAAGAAACAAGTCAAAATGGAAAATAGAATAAAAGAAGATGTTTCTAAATGATCAATCCGAGGTCCAAAAATTGTCTTTTACCGTCTCATATGTATCAGTGGCCCAATCCTTAGCGTCTTCAAGTTTGCTCCAGAGAGTCCCCCACCAGGTAGGGCCTTTCTCATCGTCGCTTTCTGGGTTGGATTCAGGTTGAGGTTCAGGTTGCGGCTCAGGCTGGGGCTCGGGTTCTTTGCTAGGTGCGGGCTTGTCAGAGGGAATGCTAGCCGGAGTCTTCGTGGGAGCTACACTGGGAGTAGGACTGCTGGCGGGAGGGTCGGGAGGATTGTCAAGAGGAGGCGTATTTTCATCGGAATGGATCCCAACCGGCTTCAGAGGAAGACGCAACGTTCCGTTGTTCGGAAGAGGCTTGATGCCCAAGGTATCACAAATGATGTTGTATACGTTGACATTTTCTGCAAGGGTTAGCATATCCACCAAAGCATTACAGCACAGCGGTACTTACGGAAAGGCTCTAGTCGGCTATTGCGCTCATGGGGAAATGAAGGTCCCCTGGCGACAAAGATAGCCCGCATGAGAGGGTGCTCGTGGTCGTAGCCATGAATACCTTTCGGATGGTACTCTTCTCCTTTCTCCAGGGCCTGTTCAGCGTCGAAATCAGGCCGCTCAACAATCGCCCATCCGGTTTTCGGGATGATCCACAGGGGAGCTATGCGGTCATTGTTCTTGAAGTGGTAGCGTTCCGGCATGCTCTCGCGAGTGTAGACCTCCACGGCATCGGAGTGGTTTGCAGCGATGTTCTCTAGCTGGTCCTGGAGGGTCTTCAAATCTTCTTCCCGCTTAGGGCGTATTCCACGCAGCGGCCACCCATCAATGCGGTCAACCAGATCCATGTCGATAAAGTCATCCAGTTGCACCAGCCGCTCGGTAGCGGTTGAAGCCATACCATGATCAGACACGATCACAACGTTCACGATCTCCGTGAGATTACGGTCTTGGAGACCAGAGAAAAGATTTCCAAGCATGGTGTCGACGTCAGAAATTGTGCCGCGAATCTCCGTACTGTTCGGACCGTATTTATGACCATGCGCATCTACATTGGGCACGTAGAACGCGATGAATTGAGGCCGTTCAGAGGTGTCCAAAGTTTCATCCTCAGAACCTGGCATGTCCAAGAACTCCAACACGCGATTGACCTTTCGCGGTAGCGTCTCGGATCCATTGTACTCATCCAAGATACTAGGCTCCACACCTCCAATATGTGCCTCCGAGCCGGGCCACATGTGGATAGCGGTTCTCAGTCCATGGGTTTCGGCGGTCATCCACAGAGGCTCCGCATTCCACCACTTGGGCTGCATGCTGACGGAGGGGTGTGTGTAGTAAAACTCCTCCTGCGACGTCGGATCCCAGAAAGTATTTCCCACTATGCCATGGCTTTCAGGATACAAGCCTGTAACGAGAGTGAAATGGTTCGGAAAGGTGACGCTGGGAAAGCTGGGCAGCATGTACTGCGGAGAAACGCCATCGGCGATGAACGAGTTTAACGTCGGAGTGAGACCACGGTTGAGAAAGTCGGCTCTGAAGCCATCAAGCGAGATTAGGATAGTGGTTGATGCAAACAAGGCGGAACCGTTAGAGAGTAGGGGAGGCGGCCGCGAATGCGACGCGCGGAATTTCGACGATGCTTTATAGGCGCCTAATAGACAGATGAGGAATAAAACGAATACAGCGGAAAAGAGGAGCGCAAGCTTGCGCCACGAGACCGGGCGTGTCTGCAGAAAAGACAAGATCACATCAGCTAGGTCAATAGTCAACAACAATGGCAACGCTCATACCTCCTCGTGGTTATATTTTTCTTTGATGGTTTGTCCCAAGTCAGAAGAAGACGAGGAGCTAAGCAGAGAGGCCTCGTCTTCCCGGTGACCTTCTTCCATCTCATACATCAGCTCCCCCGATTCCGACAGTTTCTGGCGCTCCTTCCGTGCATCTCGGCGAGCTTGCCTCCGCTGTTGACGTTCCCGCTTTCCAATCTTGACGCCACTGCTGCTGGGACTGAATATGCGGCGAAGACCATGAGCAGGACCTTTCCTCGTCAAGAGCTTCTCCGTTTCCTCCTCGTCGTCCAGAACGGTGCGATCGTGTTCAGCTAGTTCCAACGTGGTACGGGAATGGCGGAGGAATTCGTCATCTTCCGAGTCCGAGTCCTGCTCGGATGGAGATCGTAACGACTCGGCGTCTTCGTCATAGTCGCCAGGAGAGAGAAGAGAGTGACTGTGGCGCTGACGCTGCGAAGGCATGAGGAATGATGGGGACCCAGGTGTTCATGGATTGAGTTGAATCCACCGAAGGAAGATAGATAGGGGCGATCATCCTCCGGTTCGCGCTGACTCAGCGAGGGTCATCCTTTCTCCGCTCCAACGAGATCCGAGACATTCATCAATCTGCAACGCCTGAGTTATTCTGGAGCAGACATCGGAGATCAGACCCATTGTTCTCGATAACTCGTTCTGCTTTTGCGGCCTGATTCCCGATGATTGTGCCAACCATGATCTACAGACTAACTCTCGGATGCTATGGGACTCGTTAGGGAGATGTTCGATAACAAAGAACGAAATGAAAGCATCTTCGACATTATGGTCGAAAATTGTCCTTTAGGACAGATGCCAAAGTCACTGGCATTTCTCTCAAAGCTGAAACGCCGAGGTGGTGCAATATTTGACTAGTACGCTCCTTAGTCTGGCTCTCAACACTGTATCTCTCGCGTGCCATAGAGCAAGTGATTTGCTGGCAACAATAGCAAGAGTCTTGACCAACGAGCCCAAGTTCTTCAGCTGAACTCCAAAGTTGGCTATGAAGGTAAAGGCAGAAGCCCTCAACAAGCAACATGCCAACCGGTGCATGATCTAGCGCGGTCTGGATTGGTAGACAATTCCCAAGCCAGGCACATAGATCCATGGCAGCGCTAGAACAGCTTCTGGTCGCTTTCTGGACCATTCTATTCGAAGGCCTTGCGGTATTCCCGAACCACTGCTTATTCTGAAGTTTGAACGCTACGATGATGTGACAGTGGACAGTAACAGTGGCGCATAGCAGAAGGATGATCGACATTCCCTGGAATGTATTGAGTACCAATCAAGCGCTCCATGAAGTTTGTCGATATTACTAATGAACGAAGACGGTTTTGTCCCTTGGAGGCCCGGATCTCCAGAAACAATGCGGCCTGTTCCCGTGCATGAGCCCATGGATGCTTTCATCCTTCTGCCTGGTTCCGCTCAATGTCCATTGTGTCCCCGGAGCATGCTTCCGGCCTTCATTGGCTGATTGTCGATACCTGTGACGGATTTACTGCGCAGGAATGGATCGACATGCCGTTCTGCTTCCGGCCCTGAGAATACTTGCCTTTTTGGGAGCCCAAGGCTGAAGACGTCGTATCACGTGATATGACATTCCCTTTGCGTTTCTCTCTTCCAGCAGTCGGACTCATACAGTCCAGGCCCATTTTCGCAGAGAACTAAGCCTTTTTGCCTCACGATGGCACCGATCCGGATTCAGACCTACCCCGGAGGTGTAAAACGCTCACACCATGTCTCCTGTCCGATTCCGGAGAGGTTTCTTCGTGAAGACAAGGACAAGTTCTCAACTCGGATGAGAAGTTGATGCCGGATCGGTATGATCAAGAGCAATATAAAATACTCCCATTAGTCCTGGTGGCTGGTTATTCTTCTCTATCATTCTTCCTCGCATACTTTGTCAAAAAAGCCACCGCCGTCTATCTTTCCGCAGGCCACGCACCAGCCATCAAAGATTATCTTTCAGATCATTCTTGCCTTAATCTTTTCGCAATGCACTTCTCTACCCACGTTGTGACTGCCTTGGCCATCGCGGCTGGTACTGCTAGCGCCGCTGATCTTCAACAGAGGGGAAACGCTATTACTACGACCATCTGTGAAACAGTAACTTCCTTCTTCCATATTTGCAGGTTTAATCTAATATCGCTCAGAGTGTGATCAATGTCCCTCATGCTACCGCCCCAGCTGGTCACCCCGAGGCACCCGCTGCTCAGCATAGTGCCCCCGCCGGTCACCCTGAAGCTCCTGCTGCCCAGTCCAGTGCTCCCGCTGGTGGCAAGCCTGAGGAACCGGCTGCTCACCCCAGCGGCCCCGGTGGCAAGCCGGAAACCCACCACCAAGGCAAGCCCGAGGCCCCTGCTGGAAACCCCAGCGCTCCTGCTGGTAGCCCTGAGGGTTCTAGCGGCCACCCCAGTGCTCCTGTGAGCCAGCCCAGCGGCAAGCCCGAGGGACACCCCAGCGCCCCCGTCTCTGAGCCCAGCTCGCACCCGGCCCACTCGAGCGCTCCTGGCTCCAAGCCCAGCGTCCCCATCATCCACTCCAGTGCTCAGGCCAGTCCTCCCGTCTCCGAGGCACCCAAGGCCACCCCCAGCATCTCTCTGCCCAAGTACCACAACTCCACCACCCCCAAGTACCACAACTCGACTACTCCCCAGTCCACCAGCTCCTCTGGCGGTCATGGCGGCAACGGTGGTGACAACGGCGGTGAGGTTCCCAAGCCCACCGCCACCGGCTTCACTCCTGCCAACCCCGGCTCCAAGATCATCATTCCCGGCCTTGCGGTTGCGGGCAGCGTCGCCATGGGACTGCTTCTCGTGGCCTAAGCTTGAGACGACATGGTAATTCTTTCATTTGATCAACACGTTTTTTTTTTCTTGTGTTGGTCTCGAAGTGAGCTAGCGAAGCCATTGGACGGCCTCGGTGACACTCTCTTTCATGATGATGTTTTCCTTTTGTCTTTATAATGGGTACTGGCTCTACCGATTCATTCTTCTGAATGCTTCTTAATATCTACTGTCAAACAAAAGGCGTCTTTGGTCTGATTACTTTTCTGTGGTTTCGTTCGGTTTTATGCACTCGATAATTCTAATAGATTTCATTATTTCCTTATTATTCGTATACTTCTTTGCCTGAAACTCTAAACGTTACCACCGCTAACCCCTTGACAGATGAGCGTGGGCCGAGTTAGGTAGAAGAGGTCCATATCCAGGCCTGTATCGGGACCTCTTCTTACAAAGGCTACCCTTTTTTGCAAGAGGCATATACCCCCATGGATGTATCCTGGAGCTACGAACCTCTCTTTTGATTTCAAAGGCAGATTCTTCCTTGTAGCTTTCGTTACAGCTGTCAAAGGCTACTGACAGCCCACAGCATTCGATCAAAAAGGTCAAGCCCCTGTCGATCAAACACTTGATGCCGCCATCCCAGTCGGGGCTCTGATCAAGGGAGAAACCACGCACTTCGACACTTCTCTGACGCGGACTCGCGTGCATTGATTCGTGTTCACCGCGAAATGGCGGTTTCAGCCATTCGTTGGCTGCTGATCCTTTCTCCCGAGGAGCAAGGAGGCTTCGGGATCTCGAGGGACGGGGACTAACCGTGCTGTCGATCCTATATGGCGCGCCGCGAATAATGAATCAAAGTGTTCACTGACGGATGCAAGGGGGAGAGACAAACACGAAGTGCCATAAAAAAGCCGCATCACCCGTGGCAGGCCTTTGTAGAGAAAACATCGAACAAAATTCACAATGTACACGACTACCTACAATACCGAACTACCACCCAATTATGGCGATAGCAGTGACATGATCACCCTCAAGGCGACTTCGCAGTCGCCCAGTCCCGTCTCAGCTCCTATATATGAACCAGACGATACGCCGCGTTTGACGACGCCCAGAGTCTCCGGCGTGGAAGCTCCTACACCTTCTCTGCCCACCGTTGAATGTACCGTCCGCGCGCGAATCCCGACAACCACAGGCTCCGAGCTATGGCTGCACCTCTACAGGAACGACACCGACGACAAAGAACATCTAGCCTTTGTATTTGGCAACCAGATCCAAAGCCGCAGTTTAAACCGGACAACGAAGGAGGAGACAGAAATGGAGCGCATGGTGCGCGGCGCCTACAGGGGAACATTGTCGCCGGAGCGAATCAGCAGCCATTGTCATGAAAATAATGGCTCTGCTGAATCCGAGTCCTCGTGTCCAGTCTCAGTGCCAAAGCTCACGCTGGTGCGCGTCCATTCGGAATGCTACACCGGCGAGACAGCGTGGTCGGCGAGATGCGACTGCGGCGAGCAACTTGATCAGGCAGCCCGTATGGTGACGGCGGCTGGGAACGGGGTTATTGTTTATCTGCGACAGGAGGGCCGGGGAATCGGTCTGGCAGATAAGTTGAAAGCTTATAATCTCCAAGATATGGGGCTTGATACGGTCGATGCGAACTTGTCCCTAGGGCGACCTGCAGATGGACGGACGTATGGCATCGCGACGGCGATCCTGGTGGATCTTGGTCTGGGAAACGATACGGGCTGTTCTGGGGGGATTCAGTTGTTGACCAATAACCCGGAGAAAATGTGCACGGTTGAAGGTCTGCATGGGGAGATCACTGTTAAGGAACGAGTGCCTATCGTTCCGGAAGCGTGGCAGGCAGGTTCTGGTGAGGACCAGGGCAGCAGAGATTCGGAGCTCTGTGGATATTTACAGACAAAGGTGAGACTTTTTAATACGATTTTCAAAGTTCATGATATTGATTGCGATTTAGATTGATAAGATGGGGCATCTTATGTGAATGGCGACGTATAACACCAGGTTTGATTCTACATAGATATAGATCTATTCGAAGTACTGTACTATAATTGGAACACCTGTATGTTACGCCAGCCAGTTTTAGTAGGAAGGGAGAAAAATAGAACAAAAAAAATCATAAATACCATCTCAGCTGTCTCACATGGCTCTCCTGGGCTCGATACGAACAATAAACTTGATTAAATAATAGCCCTCATAATCTGCGATGCATAAACTACTCAATGATCCACATCCTCTCCACCAACTGAGCATCGTCGTCGACATCTTGCTGTCCCTGGTCCAACTCATTCGCTGTCCCGAGTATTTCTAAGGTGGCCACAGACTCGAATTTAAAAACCCTGTCAGCCTGTTTCCCGTCCGTCGAGCAATTTGAATCTCTGGACGTCGACACCACGGCGGCCACCATCGGCACCCCAGGAACCATTTTCATTGTATGGTCCCAGAAGATCACGTATAAGCCGCGTTCTGGGGATTGTTTCCTGTCACTGGAATCCACAATCTTTTCTTCAGCCAGCTCATCCCCCTTTCTCGATCCCTCAGCCCGCTGTACTACAAATCTCACCCTCGGACCATTTTCCAGTCGAGCATTGATAGTCAGACACTGAAGGTCGTCCAGAGTACAAGACGACGGCAGAGCCAGCCCGGGGTACTTCACCGCGAAGCCCTGCCCCGTCACCACCCGCCCAGGGGTAGTATCACCCAAAGGCACCGTGATGCCGAAGACCTTCGAGCTCCCAAACTGACTCACGGCCCACGTCCAGCCCGGCTCGGCCATTCGCGGGCCCATCATGAACAGCAGGCCTTGCGGGAGATGGCTCTCCGTCCTCAGCAGCGCATGCATTCGCTTCTCGAATGGGACACCGCGAAGCGAATTCAACTCCCACCCCACGAGGCTGGCCATGCACAGGAACTGGTCCTCTTTTCGGCTGGTCGAGCGATACAGCGCGGCCATGTAGGCTTGCATGATGGCGTTGCAGCGCTTGCGGATCTCTCGATCCAAAGAAGGTGGTCCGCTCGTGCTTTTCATCCCGATCATCTTGCGGTCTGGGCGGTCGGTGACGTTGAGTCGGAGGGTGAGGAAGCTCCAGTAGAAGCTCCGCGCGTCGGCGTGCGGCGTGGCGTAGACCTGTCTGCTCCGCGGCTCGATCCACCCGCCCCTTTTGAGGCTGTGGTTTCCGTTGGGTCCGTATTCCGTTTGGAGTTCGAAGAAGCCATCTGCGAACTTGATATACAGCCTTTGCGCGCAGACTCCCTCTTGCAGCGTCCACAGCCGTCGCATCCAGGGGGAGAGGGAAATGCGCATGAATGCTTCGGTGGATACGCCCTGTGGGGAGGCTTGTAACTCTGCGTCGAGGACAACGACCCGGAAGGCGTCCTCGTAGATGCGTTTCATGGATCGAATTGCCTGCGTCCGGACCTCGCGGTACTTTGCTTCGACTGGGATGCAGAGGGTGTCCATCCAGAAGAGGAGCGAGGGGCCCTGGAACTTCCTGCTCAGAGTGTTGAAGGCACCCATGTTAATCAGCGACAGGGTGCCGACTTTCGAGAGCACTTCGTCGAGGATACCTTGGATGCGCAGGATCTGACACCGAGGCAACGTGTTCCGGACGGGATTTCCCAACCCGTCAGACCAGACATGGGAGAATGCGATAAACTGTTTCCCACGTTTGTACGGTTCCGCTGCGATCTTGAGATATGGTCGTGTCTTCGTCGTTTGGATAGAAACGAGCGGGATCTGACCGGATTGAATGATGGACACAATCTCATCGATAGGGGGCCCGAGATGTGCACAGTCACATCCCTCGGTGCTGTGCTGCGTTTGGTATGTGGTTTCATCCAATTGACGCGCAACACAAACCGTATCTGAGCAGCTCGAGTGATCCAATCGTGGGGTCTCTTTGGGTCGTTTGAGCTGAGTCGCATAGTATGCCGAGGCGGATGAGAACGTACGAGAGACCATGTTCATCTCACTAGGGCATCGGCGCTCTTCGATCATGCGCGAAATGGGAAGATAGGCGCATGGAAACGAGAAGTTTATCAAAGGGCATTCGTATTGGAAGTCCCACTGGCTAAATAGCGCGGTGCAGAAGTATTCACCCAAGTGGCGGATTGAAAGATCGATATCCGCCGGCAATGGCCAGACATGGGATCCAGTTCTGAAGGTGTTAAGCATGCAGAGCTTCGATAAAGTGCTCAAACAAGTCTCGATGTCTTGCACTATAGCTTGCGCGGAAGAATAATCGGCTTGTATCAGCTCCCTGATCTCTAACAAGCGCCGATGAATATGCTGATCCAGCAGCTTGGTGGTGACGATTCCAAAGCCGGTTTCAGTGTCCCATCTCACGTAGTCCGATTTCGACACGTTGTTTCCCAGAACCACCCAAAGAACACCGAAATACAGCCAGTCCTGCAAGAAGGCCGCAGTCTCGTGTGGTGGGCGCTGGGAGAAATCCCCGTCAAATAATCGGTCCTTAGACAACCCTGCGCGCTCGGGGTAAGATGACCAGTCCATCTGATCATACGCATGTGGGCTAAGGCAGGGAATGCGTAGGGGAGGATAGGCCGGATCGGTTACTTCTTCGATATGATCCATAGTTCCCAAGGACTCTCTTGTCGAATGACAAAAGCTCGAAATGTAGTCCGCTTCGGATTGCTGGAGAGAAGGATTCGAGTTCGGGAATCACTTGCCCCTTCTTGCTAGCTTGTTATCCACGTAAGCAGAGAGCTAGCGCCTTGTCCTGGGTCTATAAGAGAAGACAGTAGCAGGTCGGAGAATCTGTAGGTTGCAGGTATTAGACCCTAAATGACTTCAGTATAAGGCAAAGCAGAATTGATGGAATGATAGTCAGAAAGAGCTGCAATTGTTGGTTTTATCATCTATTCTTTTGAATACTGCACTACACAAAAACATGAAACTCCATGGATGCAACCATTACTTCCACACAAGCATCATACCTAATATCGCGTCCTTCACATTAGCCCGGAAGAAATCCTCCACTCAAAATGCCCTCCCTACACCCCTCTAGCTTGTCGAAATCCAATTCGCCCACTGACAAGAACACCCCCCTGTCCCACCGTCATACCCACCAACATCCGAACCGTTATCCTTCGACGAACCAGTCGTGTTGAAGATGCCCGGCGCCGGGTTCACAAGCAGCCCCCCAAAGTCCCGGTTCTCGATCTGCAGCTTTTTCTCCGTCGCGTTGATGTGCAGATCGGTCTCCATGCCGTAGCAGTATAGCATCTTCTTCTTTGCGTCTCCGCCATGTCGGTCGATGGTGATGGTGATGGGGTACGGGAACGAGCCGGGACGGGTGAAGTCGACTGCGGACGAATTGGTGGCTGAGGCTGTGGACGTTGCTCGGGCGGTAGATGTCGGCGTTGCGCTGGCAGATGCAGACGCAGAGCTGTTGCTGCTCAGGAGGGATTTTCCTGATCGCTCAGGTTTGGTCCAGATCTGGACGAGGAATCGCGTCTGTGCCCAGGTGCATCGGGTCCGGGCTTTGGTTTTGCGGGAGCCGCCGTTGTCATCGCCTTTGCTGTCTGACTTGCTGCCGTCGAGGGGGCTGGATGACGATGAGAATATGGAGCGGTCGAAATAGGTGTAGAAGCCGTAGTGCTCGTCGTCTTGGCCTCGGTTGTAGAGCCTCACGGGCTGGGATTCAGGGAGAGGGTAAAGGTTGGCTGCGGCGGCCGTTCCATCAGAGTCGACCTCCGGGGAAGGTATAAGTGATTCCAGATCAGGGAAAGGGGAGTCGTCGGATCTGCGCACATTCCGAGTTGCTGAGAGAGGGACAGGCGATAAAATGGTCATATAGAAAGGCGTTTCGACCCCGGCGTAAGGGGCAGTGTTATTGTCCGTAGTGTTTCCGAGGAAGGTCTGTTCCTTCATATCTGGCGGAGATGGGGACGAATCGAATGATCCGGGAGCCCTAGGCACGGCCCTTTTGCCCGAGTCTGGTGCCACAGCGGTGCTGTTTGGATATGTGCCATTGCGAAACCGGATCTCCACTCGAAAATTGGGCTGGTTGGCAGGATAGGGGTTGTTGGCATCTTGTTGTTCTTCTGGCAAAGCACAGCTCCAGAGAGACGCAGGAGTAATACATCCCGAATTCTGCACCTGGGGCTCGGGAGCGGCAACCGTTGCAATACCGGTTGGCATCGGTGGATATCCGGTCAGATTCAGCCATTGCGATTGAACTGGAGTTGCATCGCCCTTCCTGGTGAGCACGATTGCAAGGACGATGGCAACGATGACAATGGCCAGGAAGAAGGCAGCAATGGCCATGTACCATCGACGCTTCAGCCGACCCTCGCGTCCAGATCTTCCAAAGCAGCCTTTGTTGCTGATGCATCCTCTACCTCGCCATAGCCCGCCGGCTTTCTTACCGATGGCCTCTTCCTTTTCATGCCTTCTCCTTCGGGATTCGATTCTTTCCCTCTCTGCAAATGGGCTTGTCGTTGCGTCTCGCGTTATTGGGACAGGCTCGATGCGTGGCGGAAGAGTAGTGGGGTCGTTGCGAGTGCTCGTGTACGCAGGCGCCGGACTGTTCTCTATTTCTGATAATGGAATGAATCCAGGTGCCTCCGATGCTCGTTGGAACCCCGGTGAGACAGGATCAGGGCGTTGTGGCTGCGGAGGCTGCGGAGGTTGCTCATCATGGTGAGGAGGAGGGATCATTACGTATTGAGGAATAGTCCTCTCAGTTGTGACGATAGGCGCTGGTGCCTGGATTGGAGCTGGAGCTTGCTGAATATACACATGTGTGACTGGCGGCGGGGCCGCAGCAGCTGGTGCCTGTTGGACGAAAGGGTTAAAAGACACTCGCTTATCATATTCGCTGTCTGCTGGCGGTGCTCTTTCCACGCCTCCCCTGGCTTGTGCTTCGGGTTTGGGGGAGCTCGGCCTGGAAGGTTCTGGTGAGCTTTCGATGGGGGTATTGTCATCATCTGCTGCATCTGGAACAAACCCTCTGGCACGCGGCTCTGGGGAACCAGCCCTTGGGGTTTCCGATACACTCTCCTTCTCCTCAGGAGGGTCAGCTGCCTTGGGACTGCGAATCGGGGTTTCCGATTCGCCAGCTGCAGCTGATGCACCACAGGAGCAAGTTTTCGAAACCGAAGTAGGCGCCAAAGAGCTTCGATCATCTTGCGGACCGGACCGGGGCATATCGTCCACGTCTACTAAGAGACCTTTCTCACTCATGGTGTCATTCGCAGCTGCGTCCGGCTCCACGACCGGTATCATGTCCTTAGGTGTAATAGAACAGACATGGTCAACACATTCAAAGTAAGGTCGACCGCTGAAAAGTTCATGGGCACATGCTTGGTAATACTCGGCCGCTGAGCCTTGAATCGCTCGCCCGGGAAACATGAAGGACGTAGCATTCCGCTCCCCCAGAGGTTCAGCCTGAGGGTCCGTTATCGAATTGAAATCAGCAAACGGATTCGTGTCGCAGTTTTGCCAGCTAGCTACCTCCCCTCGGGTGACCCCGGCTGTCTCCGGAGTTTCTGGCGAGAAGCATGAGACTTCCTTTTCCCACCATTCGTCACTCGATTCCGACATGTTGGTTTTGATGGCCGGAACTGGAGGCCGATCTGCGTCGGTAGGAGCTTTCCTGCTAGAAATTGTGCTAGAGCGACCTAGCAATGGCGAAAGAAGATATGTCCACCACCCTTGCGACTGATGTCGATCGTACTCAGTATTAACACTCAGTCGGCTAGCTGCATCAATGCCGCTCAGTCGATCGAAAGCCCGTCTGACGCTGCTACTCGAGTATGATCGAGAACGAACGCCTGGTCGCGATACTTCATCTTCCTCGAATACTGTGCCTGCAGAAAAGGAACGGTGCTTCCTTGTCGATGCCAGTGACTGTCTGCGGGGAGATTTGGGACTGATTATTTCGTTCTTGGCGGCTGCGTGCTGTGCGGGAATCGCAGGAACAGGTGGTATGGGTGCCTGGCTATCTTCAAACCAGGGAGTCGGCTGAGAGTAGATGCTGGAAGTTGCTCTGGGGCGGTGATTTTCAGGCGCCGTCCCACTCCAGAAACCATCCTCCTTCGCCGGTGTGACCACTATCGAGGGTGTAAGAGGCGTCCGCTGACTGTCGCCGATGTCGAGCTCTCGATATCTCTCCTTCTGGGAGTCTGGGGATTCAAATGGCATGCTGAATCCAATCATTATCGGTCGATCGGACGGCGATAGCTCATCTTTGTATTTCTTTTTCGGCGATACCCTAGGCGTCATATCAACCCAGCTAGATCGCCTATTGACTTCTTTCTTAAGGATCCCTTTGATTTTCTGTGTTGTCCTCTCTTTATCTCGCTTCTCTGAAAGCATCTTCAGGTCATCCAAATCCACCAATGGAGAGTCGGCTGTTTTTTCTCGGATATTGGAGTGTGATGAGAAATCGGTCACTAGGTTCAATCCCACCGGCCTTTCACTGTTGTTCTTCGTGGTAACTGACTTGGGACCAGAGTCGGTGTTTTGGTGTCCATTTTGATGAAAGTCGTCATAGGCATTGGTCTCCAGCTCATTGCTTTCCGAATGACCCTCATACTCGGATTTATGAACAAAAGGGTTCCGACTGGGTACTTTCGACAGGTATTCAAACGGGCGACGTCTTTCTAGGTCCCGTTCATCGGACGATGACGAGGTCGGACTTGCAATTTCTTCGGTGATGGGGGATGATAAAGGGAAGTTTGGGACTGTAGGGATCCGCAGCTCGGCATGGGGGTATTGTCGTCTGAAAACCATTTCCTCTGCTGCTGGAGACACTCAATTTCTAAAACAGAGCTTCTTGTTAGCAAACAGTGATCGGTATCACGATATAGGTGGTGGCATACTGTACAATGTCAAGTTCCTCAGGGATTAGAAGTCACTTCCGAGCCGGCGGGTAGTGAGCGAGTGTATATGTGGGAGACCAAGAGCAATTGACAATGAAAATGCAAACAGAGCATGAAATCAAACCATAAAGACATAGACAGAGTTTTATTAACGCAGACAATGGCAACCGATAAATAACGCCTGTGAATGACTGGAACAAAGACAAAGATCGCCGAAAGGAAACAATGCAACAGCGCCCGCTATTGTTATTCACTTGTCATGCAATGAGATGAAAAAGAGCCAAAAATGTGAGTGAGTTAGAGAAAAAAAAAAGTGAAAGAAAACAGTCAGCTTTTCATCTCAGCATGCGATATTAAGGCCAGACGAAAGAAAGTAAACAAGTCAACAACCGCGAGGTAAATGGGCCAACCAGTAACGCCAGGATTCGGCCAGAGTCTAGGTTCAAGAGGAAAACACGCCAGGTGAGACAAGAAGAATCCATTCTGCAAGACAGAGATCATCTCGCACGTCTGATATAATTAGCTCAGGAGCTCATGCATCAGCATCACCCGCTCCAAACAAGTCATTGGGCATTGTTGTCGATTCTACCGTGCTGCAGAATCCTAAATCTCCGGCAGCCATGACTCCGGCAGGATTTTGCCATCATCTTCACGGGCATCATTGGACGATGCCGTGTGATCGTCTCTGCAGAACAGCATGCGAGACGCAGGTCCCAGGCCAGAGATTGGCTGGAGCGAAAGCACTGGCATGTGTGTAGCCGCTGTTCTGGATCCGGCGCGTAGAGACGGGAAACGGGTGAAGGGAAAGGATGAGGTTGCGGGGTCCAATCAGCGCCGCAGCGTCCCCCCGTGACAAAAATAGGTGGTCGAAGAGAGCAACCTTGGAAGTCCGCACGATGGTCGCATGCAAAACATCGGATGCCAGTAGTGCATGCTCCCGTAATCAACTGAGTCGGCCCCTGAGGCCCAAGAGCGCCACTAAACCGCAAATTTCGGTGTAGAGCCCGGATGGAAACTAAATCCTACGACTCTCCGTTTCTTCTCAAGCCAAAAGATCAATGTTATATAGTATTCAAGCTGGTCCTTCCTGGAGAACACGTAAATACCATTCCAAGCTCCACAAATATGATAAAAAGATGAGGATATCAATTGCACACCAAGAACACTCCTGATCCAAGTGCTTCTGCTAGATCTTTTGGTACAAAGGATGCACTGTAAAGTTCCCCAAGAACCCACTTGCAATGGTGAGAATAAAAGCAAGGTAAAAATAATGCACACACACTTTCCGTACCCAAACCCAAACCATGATATCCCATTTCCAATGCAAAAGATGTAAAGAAAAGCGCATCTGAATGCAGCGCAGCAAAAGCAAGAAAAAAAAAAAAAGAAATGCCTCCAGTCATAGGTCGGACGTCACATCACGTGGCACAAAACTCAAAGCCCTCACTTGGTATTTTTTCCAGTGGAGGATGATGATGATGAAAGCAATGGTGACAAAACATCTCGCTCCAAAAAGAATAAAAGGAAATAGAAGAGAAAGAACAAGACTCGGCCACCCAGATCAAATCTACAAGCAAGTCAAGAAAAAGCCATATCCGCGTCTAGGGAGTAAAAAACACAAGGTGTTGAAACATAAATGAGAAAGAAAAGTCGGCAAGAGAGAGCGAGCGCAGGTTTTGGCAGAGTATAAATGGGTCCGACATAAGACGAGTGGAACCACAATTTCCGACTGACGGGTTCTAAAGATTACCGCCGTTCGTCGGTATATTGTACGCCCTGCATTGGGGCAACTGATCCGTTCATGAGAGGAGGCAACGTTCGCGGTTGTTCCTGAACCATCCCAGACCCGGGAGCGTAGTTGGTGAATATCGGGCCATGCGTTTGCCCGTTCGGCTGCGGGGCCATTGGATGATGCTCGAAAATGGAGGGCGGTCGAGATTGTCCGTTGGATTGCTGCTGGTTGAGTTGGCTACGCATCTCTTCCAGTTCAGATCGTAGCACATCGTTATCGCGTCGGGCACTGGTGAGCATCTTTTCCAATTGGGAGATATATTCGATCGCTGCCAAGACGTTAGTGGTTTCATCATAAAACATAACAGCGGGGAGGAATGATGGTTTACCTCGAGTCAGGGTCTCCCATTTGCTGGATTTGTTGTTTTGGCTCTGCGGGAGTCGCACCCGTAAAGCCTCAAAACAGTCCTTCATTTCACTGCGACGCTTGCGCTCCGCTAGTTTATGGGTCACTCGCAATTCAGGCGTTCTGCTGTACGGAGTGTTGCCATTTTGAAAATCGGGATCTCCGATAAGACCGCGCACCTGTTTGTGCTGTAGGGAATGATGGTGAACACTCTGGGGAAGTTCTGTCGCAATTGTCAGTACGAGATTTTTTTTTTTCGGGAGCAAAAAGGCGAGATAAAAACGACGTACCATGTTGACCACGAGGTAAACGTGATTCGGAGTATAGACTGCTGGTTATAGATTCGGCAGTGCTTCCCTTTCGAGAAAACTGAATAGTCGGCTTTTCGTTTGTGGACGAGATCGAGTTAGACCGAGCGACATCCGGGTCCGGAAACGCATAGGCAAGACCAGCCGTTGGAGCCTCGGCGTTATAAATCTCAGAGCGAGGATTCGACGAGATCGCGGGCGCAGTGCGGCCAGCCGCAAAACTGCGATGCTCGCCAGGTCGTGGGCCAAGTGGAGACAAAGGCTGCCCCCCGGAGTAACGTGGTCCCCGGTAGGCGGAGTTCATATTCACGTCCATGGAGATTCCCCGCTCCCTCTGTAGGCCCGATACGATCGACGTTTGCGAGGCGTTCGTGCTATGGTACGGTGAAGCGGTGGTATTGATAGCAAGTGAGCTTATACCCTGGTTCATTCGACTATCGATGCTGCTGCGGCGCGATTCCGGCGGTTCGGCAATGCTGCCCCGTTGTGAAGGAGCTTCATAGTTTTGATTAATCGACGGAAGCGCTGGATTGGGCTGCGTTGAGCCAAAATGAGGAGATGGTTGTGCTCCAGCAGAAGAGGGCGTATTGGTAGTGGAATGATCGTGAGGGTAAGGAGACCGGTCGGACACGGCGGATATGCGGTTTGGAGACGGATGTGTTGAGGTGAGGAAGGATAAAGAGGGGTAATTGCCGGTGCCATTCGTGGCGGTGGAATAGGTAGAAGACCCTACAATGCACGTCAGCATCAAATCTGAAGCATAAAGTCACAATAAACGCAGAACTCACTTGCGCTTTGAGCAATAGACCAGTTTCCCGAGTCCCGCTCAATCGTATTCAAAGAGGTGTTACCGGGCGACTTCTCTGCCGGCGGGGGTGCTGTGCTTGTCATGCTCGCAGTAAGGGTTGATATCGACGGGAGTGTCTGCGTTGAGGAGACCGGAGGAGTCTGCGGCCCCGTGGAGGCCGGCTCCCATGGTCGGTGGGTAAGCGTTGCTTCCATGACGGAAGGAGAAAAATTCACGAAAGGTAAGGAGATAATTCGAGGTAAGAATCCAAGGGGCGCCCTGGTATGAAACAAAAAGGATTATGTCGGATATATCAGGCTTCGCACTATCTCATGTTCCACGAATCGGCAAGGCAAGCAGGTCGAATAATGGGATCGAAATCGGCAAGTAGTTCGGTGAGATAGAATCTCCGTCCACCAGCGAGATAGCAGTCTGTGTAACTAGAAAGCAGTTGCCAGGATGGTTCGTGATATGCAGTATCGATATCGGCCCCGAAGAGACAGCCCAACGTTGACTCAGATTCTATTTCGTACGGCTGTTGTTCGACTCGGCGACGCGACGTTCGTGGAGTATTCAGTGGAGCTCGATCTCAGCCCGCACAAGCAGTACAAATAAAATCAATGTCGATTGCGTAGTGATGAAACACTGAGTAAAAAAACACAGTGCGACTTGCAGCCAGGGTTGTGATAACGGAGGACGAGGCGAGCGAAAATCAGGTGGAAGAAGGAAGGTGAAGAATCCCGATGATGGAGTAGTAATGACCGAAATTAAGTGTATTGTCGAGACCACCGCGCCAGTAGCAGCTAGTCGGGGGTGGGAGGAGGGAAAAAAAGAAAAATCGAAAAAAGGCGGTAAATCTGTCTGGTCCTGGAAACAGGAAATTCGTATCAGCCTGGAAAAGAAAAGGGAAGAAAAAAAAAAAAAAAAAACGGAAAAATAATGACGGTTGGGGTTTGAGCCAATGGGTCTCCAGAGTATGGTTCGCAGATGATGGATCGCACAGGAGCTTGCTTACCTTAGGCGAAGGCGCAAACGCTCGGGAGGTGCAGTAGAACGTGGCACGAAAAAAAGAGAGCGAACAATTGGGCAGGAAGAAGTTTAAGAGAAGAGGGTCCGACCGACGGAAGGCCCAGCGAAAACCACGCTGCTGCGGGGGGGAGGGTGGAAAAGACAGAAAAGAAAGATAACCAGGGGAAACGGTTCGGAAGGACGGGAAGAGGGGAGGGGAGGAGGCGACAGAAGAGGAGGGGGGCAAGAGTCACGGAGATTTTGAAGAAGGGAAAAGGGAAGGGAGAGTGGTCTAGAAAAGAGCGAGAAGTTGTGGCAGCAGAAAATCCGTCACGGAGTACAGTGCCAGTGGTGGTTAGTTCCCAGGCTGCGGAACTGAGAAGTTTGGGACCAGATCCAGTGGGAAAGGCTAGTTTAGTAGCGGGAGCTATCGATGATGTTCAGACTAAATGAAGTTGGGGCGGAGTCGAGGAGGAAACCGAAAAAATAAAATAAAATAGAGAATCAAAGAAATTAAAGATGGTAGGAACTGTGAGGATATTTGCTTTTTCTTTCCTGTCTTTTTTCTTTTGATTTTTTTTCTTCTTGAATCTTCTTGCCTGGTCACTTTTCTTTTTCAGGGAAGAGGGGAAAAGTGAACGGGTGCTTTAGGGGGGGGTGGAGGAAGAGGCGTAGTCGTGACTGGAGCTAGGGAAGACGGGCAAATCAATTGAGTAGTTGGACACCGTAGACAAAGAGCAGAGGCCGTAAAAGTATTAATGGTAAGGAATGGATGGATGGAAAAATAGTAATACTGCCTACTTTGGGGGATCACGCTGGAAAGGAAAAGTGCTGACAGGAACCCTGTCCGTCCAAGTGGGAAACGATGGGACGCAGCGGTTAGCAGGAGAATATAATTAGTAGTTGGTCTGCCATAGCCCATAATAATCATTATACGGAATACGCAGTACCTAATAGTATTGGCGAATTATTAAATAACAATAACGATTATGATTATTACGGAGCACAATAATAACAATAATCAATAACGGAACCGGAGTGATGACCCTCCTATTATGATTTCTTCAAGGTAGGGGCGAAGTTGTCGAGGCAGATCGGGAGGCCCAGAAGAAGACAGGTACTGATAGATGAGCAGATGTGTCTTGCCCTCGAAAGTCTAAAATTCCCGGACTGCAGTGGACATGCCTGCCACTGCTAGAAAATAAAGATTACCGATTCTTTGATTTTTCAGACTTTTTTTGGCTGCTGCTACCTTTTCCCAGATACTCCTACTACGATGGGAAGATGGGCAAAATCCTAAAAATCCTAAATTCTAAAATCAAAATTGAAAAATTACCTGCCAGAGAACACGCCCCCTTCCTCCAGGATCGGCTTAGCTCATCAGGTCCCATGCTGTGTGTACGGCGTAGGGCAGCTGAGCCATATTTTTAATTTATGTGGTTTTATTTTATTTCAGTTTTTTTTCCCTCTTTAATTCGTTTGGCGACTGAGAAGACTGGTTGAAAATTTCGGCTTGGTTTCCCCATCCTCACGCTGAAGAATGCATGCCGATGGCTACCTAGTTTGGCCTGGGCAACTTATGACTAGACAGCCCCTCCTTTCACGTACTGCTACTTTGACAGGTGGAATACTAAGAGCTGTCCCGAGGGGCACAAAATATCTGACAGCAGAGAAAGAGGAAAGGTGGAAAGGCACCGAAAAAAAGAAAAGAAAAAGGCAGACGGAGTAAGCAGACGAAGCTACTATGGATACTACCGTGACCCGAGATTAAACGGTTTAGGGAAAATACGAAGGAAGAGAGAGCAAATGTATCACTGCTTGGCATTGCGTGTCTGAATCCATCACTACTTAGCTACATGTCACCAACCCACTTAAGTGGGCATAAAACAAAAGAACCTCCTGAAGGATTGTTAAATACCCTACGGAGTACTCCGTACTGTAGTGCTCTGCACTATTCTCTCATGACAGCCACTGGGGCAAACTATTTTAAGAGGGACGCCCAAACAAAAAATAAAAGAAAAAACAAAAACGAAAAAAGAATTAGGGGAAAGGGAAGAAAAGCATTCGGAACCACAGGCAGAGCATAATTGGCCAAGCACTGGCAGATGTGCACTACTGCGCGCAAAAAGGAAAGAACCGAAAAGAAAAAGAAAAAGAAAAAAGAACACACAAGAGTCCACCGCCACGAGGCCACTTCTGGGGAGAATCAAGGCCGCCCGGCGAGCTTTCTGTTCCGAACTCGAGCTTCCGACATGTCCACGGTTACTCCCGACCGGAATAGAATTTGGCGGGCGCGCACCAGAACAAAGGAAAAAAGAAAAAAGAAAAAAGAAAAAAAAAAGCATGGCCTCTTGACCTTGTAAACTGACCTCGGAGGTCCGGATTATACTTTGGTGGAAATGCCAGGTACCAAACTTCCAGTCGCTTAGTCCTCCACTTGGTCGGAATTATTCTCTCCTCCATCTCGATTGGACTGACAAACGGACGACGGTCCTTGCTTTGATCTGGAAGGTCGCTCAAGTCTCATGCTAAAGTTAGTTTGTTGCATTGGGCATTGGATGGTTTGCAGAATGCGACGTAATTAATGATATTGTCACGATGTCACAATACCCGTAGCCAAGGTCAGACATATTGTCTATCCCTGTCTTCCGCAAAGAGATGGTTCTTCGTCCTCGGCAGGTACTGGACTATCAGTCAATCCGTAATACTGACCTATCTCTCGGCGGCTGAGCTCCATAAAAGTCCACAATCTCGATCTATATGATGACTGCATAGTGAATTAATTACCAACCGGTTATGGTCCAACAACAACCCGGAGAGCTCGTAGGGAGGCCACCTTCTTCTCCCCGAATATGGGATGCTATCCTGGGCATTCCTGATGCCGATCTGGACCGGCTCCCTGGCAATAGGCCGGACGTGGGAATGGAAGAGTTATCTTCCGTCCATATGGTCGGCATCTTGGGTTTCCAGTCCCATTCTGATCCACTCCATCTGGCTGCGTGTCGAACCGGGGACCGGGCAGAAAGGATCTCATTAATTGGAGCGAGCCTAGCCTAGAGGCTTAACTTAAAGCAGGGTAGCCCTGTCTGCCGACTGACATCGGCCGCAGTCTTCCCCACCTGCAAAGCTAATTTAGCAGGCAACGCTAGCTCGGATCGATACCTTAAACCCCCTCCAAACGAGAAAAGTTTGTGTCGGCGGTTGAAAACCAAGGCCGGGAAGAGGAGAAGAGGAGAAGAGGAGGAGAGTTACGAAAGATCAAAACTCAGGTAGGAAGGAGTCGATCCAGAGCTTACAACTACCTTGACAAAAGGGACAAGAAAAAGGATCGGAGGAAAATTGTTCGATTATTCCTTCTCCCTTACCCCTTTGGTCCTTCCTTGGGGGAACAAGTGGTAGCTTGGACCAGCCGGGAAGTGGGGCCCAGAATGTGGATGGGGGAAGGAGAGCCCTGGTCCGGTCGATCCAGTGCTGGCGGGCGAATCAGACGCCCTGAGGCGGCCCATGGCAAATGCACCCTCCACGCCTGCGAAATGTCCCGTGGCCTGAAGAATTTCGGCACTCAACCATGGGGGTGGATGTGGATGTTGAGAAAATGGAAAATCGCAGAAATAAACACAGAAACACGTTGTTGAAGGGGCTCAGACATTTTTCTGTGGAGGGTCCCGGAGGGGCAAAAACGCGAGGGATGGACTGAATCACTGAATCACGAGCCACTCACGCTAACTTTGCGTACCTTTTCTCTTCCACTCGCGTGTGTCGTTCCTTTCGGATTACATCATACGCCGGAGTATCTGCATGATTGGTATTTGGCTGGACAGTCCTTGACCGGTGAGAGGAATTGGCTTCGCCGTCGCACATCATGATGCTGTTGAGATGTCAAGGCGATTGCGAGAGACGGGGGTGGATTCGTTTGCCGGCTGATTACGACATTCGAGTTTCCGTCATTGATCTAGACTGCGGTACGGAGTAATGGGGGAATTTAATGCCTCGTGTAATGCTTACCGGCTGCGTACGCCAATTACATAACCAACCACGGAGTAGGTAACCCAGCAAGCTAACCTGGAAGGTTCTTAGGGTCACCTAACTGCTTACGGCGGACTAGCCAGCCTAGCGGAGTACGCAGTAAGGACGCAATCACGCCCATACCCGCCGGCGGCCGCCCCCTTCCATCCTCCTAGCCCTATCAATCCAGGAGAAGCCCTTAGCGAGCATTAATGCTCTTCGTTATGATTGGGGATCACGGGGCAGATAGCGTCGTCAGAGGCTCACAAGCTGGCAGGCGCAGTCTGCCCTTTCTGGGATCATCCGGCGAGAGCCCAGCGCCCA